CGATCTGGGCCTCGCTGTGTTCGAGGGCGATCGCTTATTCGAGTAAGAGAAGAGGAAGATCTTGCAACGTTCGACGTCTTCCTCCGAGGCCTGCTCCTCTCGATGAATTCGGACCTGGACGGTGAGCAGACCAAGCAGACGGAGCAAGAGGGCAAGGCGGAAGCGGCGGAGGGCCAGCTGGAAGGCGCGAAGAGGACAGAGGAAACGACGGCGACGAGAGCCTGGGCGCCGTCTCTTGCAGCAGCACGGAGGACTCCTCGACCTGAGGAGATCCGCCTCGGACGCCCAGGACGCGCTTCGACAGGCGGCGAAGAGCCGCCGTAATTCTACTTTGTGTAGACAAAAAGAAATGGAAAAAGGAAAGAAAAAAAACGAAAATAAAAGGTTTGTTTCGACATTTGTTCCTGTACAGTAGTACTAAACTGCCTTTTTCCCATTGAGCTTCATTACCCGACTGTGCCTTACATTTTGCATAATACAGCTGTGCTCCAACATTTACTCCGTTATGCTAATATAACATATATACATACATAAAATATATGTATATATAATATAATATATATAATTATATTAATATAAATATATATATATATATATATATAATATATATATATATATATATAATATATATATATTATATATATATATATATAATATATATATATATATATATATATATATATATATATATATATAATATATATGTGTGTGTGTGTGTGTGTGTGTGTGTGTGTGTGTGTGTGTGTGTGTGAAGTTTACATACAAATATATGTGTGTGTGTGTGTGTGTGCGTGAGTGTGCGTGCCTGCATGTGTGTGTATGCGTGTGCGCAAAGTACAACCCCATCCCCCTCTATGAACAGATTCCCATCAGAATCCGCACACCGTCTGGCCTAGCATGCCTGAGCACAGCATCCTCATTCTCCTCACCAGGGACGCCGCCGTCCTGTGAGGAACGCCGTGCTTCCTGCACCAAGCCTCCAGTCTGGCGTGCAGCTCGGAGGGTTCCAGGGGCGCGCTGCCGCCCACCCAGACCCCCTTCAGGTCTTCCAGGCCCTCGCACATCTCGAATTCTGCTTCCGTGCCTGAAACCGAGTAGAAAGGTTTGTGCTCGTTATGCGTCCCAGTGAAACCGGTTTTCCGTTAAATGAGAGCATGCGTGGCCAAAGGTGATCTCAGACCGTTTGCGTTTGTTCAGTATTTTTTCAATTCAAATTATTCATTTAGCCGTTAGTGGTACACACATTTGTATCAGTTACAGTGATAATAAACGCATTAGTAAGAATGGAAGAGCCTTTTGAGGAATGTGTTCCTCTTAAAAGGCACCTAAGGAAAATACATTAGATGAGAAAGGAGTTTAACAATATATATGATTAGTACTATGGTTTGCCATGGCATATCCTATGCATGTATTTATTCGTGAATGCAGAACGCTTTAGAGCAAACGAACGAAATCAAAGGTAAATCAAAACAATGACACAAATACAAACAGAATAAGAAACAAAAAGAACTGAAAAATACGTGCAATATCAATAAGATTCTAGCAAGAATCTCCGCAGTGGTCGTTTGAAGATGCCAACAGTAGCTATGGAAGTGTTCGACTGAGGTAAGCTGCTCCATATTTTTACACCTTGGAAGGAGCCTGACTTTGAGGTCTCACATAGGAATGTCTATTATTATTGTTTGAATAAACTGGCTCTGAAATGAAAGACATCATACTGTTCACCTAACCACAAATAAAACGAGAGAGGGATAAATTACCTAAACATTTGGTTTACTTCTCTTATATACTCACAGAACTTTATAATTATACTTGAGGATAATTTATTGAACATATAAAATTATTTGAAAAAATATCAGTCTCAAAATCGTTTCATGTTAATTGTTTTATTGATTCAATGATCTACCATCAAATGATTTGAAACATGAGAGAGAAACATGAGACGGAGGGAGAGAACACTCACCCTCAGGTATAACTTCTGACAGCTGCACCTCCTGCAGACACACGCCGTAAAGGAAGCACTGGTCTGTCCGGAAGTTCGCGTGAGCACCGTTGGGCATCTGCAGCACACCGCCTGACGCTGTGACTTCCCTGATCCTGCCTCGCATCATGCCCTGCATCCACAAATGAGAAGAATCCTTAGTTCTGTGTAGTGTTGTGGTATGATATCGCCGTGACATTGCCTAGCCTCCCTGAATATGTCAACATTAATACTAATCAGTGGCAGCCAACGCAAATAAACACCAAACTAATGTCGAACGGACAAATGGTCTAGACTGGAAGCTACATACATTTCCAAGGGTAAGGGTCACCGAAAAGTCTCTGAAAGCAATCTGTGTTTGATCACAAAAAAGTTAAAATCCTGATTTGCTATCTGTCTCACTACACCTGCACTGCATTTCTAAGTTCCTAGCTTAAAGGCACAACGTAAATCTGATTACTTGTATTTTATGATGAGCTCGATGAGATATGACACATATATTTTTTTTTTATGGTTGACCCATTTCTGTTAGTTTATCTTATTTCATTGGACGTGGCAGCGAATGGAAGCCAATTACACGTTTTGCACTTGCTCCCTGGCGGACTTCAGCAAAAGGCCATCGTGCCAAACAGAATAATATGTGAATCAAAACTATCAGATAAATTAATCTTTCCTACTTTAGTTACTACAGGAATTCGGGTCTGTAACGGGCAAATTGGACTCCCGTTATAGCATTTATACTTACGTCATTCGGAATATCACTATCCACCACGGCAGTCTTCAGGGTATCATTTCCTTTCTTGGCCTGCGCAGTGCCTCCAGCTGCAGAAGAGCTCCAGGCTGGGTTCCGGCTTCAGCCTGGACTTTCAGTTTGACGTCGGCCGGCGAAGGTTTGTCCCACACACCAGGCTGGCTATCAGCTGGACTTCAACGCCGGTGATCTTCTTGTAGTCGCCGTTTTTCTTCGTGGGGAAGGCCCGCGCCACGCAGCCCCACGGTTGATTCCGCTTCTTCTTCAGAAGTTTCGAGAGGGGCTTCTCGTCTTCAACTTTCTTCTGATTGAGGTAGAGCACGTCCCTATGGAAGAAAACTTTAGCCTTGCCGCCTTCGATCTTGTCGCTCTCAACCTCCAGGATCCCAGAATTGGACAGAATCCTGTGTGGCCGAGCTGTTGTCACCTCCACATTTCTAGTCAGTAAAATTTTAGGGATGGGACCGACTGCCTTCTTTGCTGTGTTCGTCTGCACTCTATAGTTACCTGCAGATCCCTCAATCAGTCCCCTCTGATTGTATTTCGAGTTGAGGACAAGTCTAGTCTCTATGGACCTGTCACTTGTATTCTGGCTCTGATTTTCTGTAGTTTTGCTCTCACTGTGCTTGTACGTTTGCACTTCAAGTTGGTCACCATTCTGCTTTTTTTTCGTTCTGCTGTCATTCCAGGAACAATTTAGAAAATATTCATCCTCTGTGTCGTCCATGAATTCATCATATGCAGAAGTTTCATTCCTAAAATTTTCATCAGAGTCTTTGCTACTTGATTCTTTAACATGATATGTAAGTTCATCACAATCAGAGCCACTATACTCAAATGTTTGAGCCACAGACTCCTCGGCAAAGGGCGGCCGATCCCTGAATTCCACACTGTTCTGCTGGCATTTCGTGCTCCTGTTCGAGAAACTGTAGGGGCGTCGGCGTTCACCGACTTGCGCGACGTCCTCGGAGCTACCGGATTCCGATCTCTGGTCTTCGGGAGTGTCACTCTCGGATTCTAGCTCTTCGCGGACTTTATCAAGCTGTCGGCGTATCGTGTCAGCATTAGAGGATGTACGTCGATGCAAATAGTCACTATAATCTGTACAATCCTCGGAGTCTACGTATTCCGGCGTTTCGTGTCCGATGCCCTCAAGATGAGCTTGGTGGTATGTACATTTTTCTTCGCCTGAGAGTTCTTGATACAAGGAGTCACCGTCACTGTGGAAATGCTGAGCACCTGTGTCATGAAAGTAATCATCGACGAACTGTAATTGTCTAATTTCGTAACGCTGCTTATATCCAGGCCCTTCACACAGCGATTGACGATGCTCGACGTCCTCACTCATCGATTGTCGATTCCGGGACTCGTCGCCATCAGAATCACCACCATGCTCGGGGTTCTGGCGTTCCGAATCGTCATGCGGATCAGGAAACTCAGGTTCATGACACTGAGGCTGGTTCTGACTTGAGATTTCGTCCCTGTACAGAATTTTGGGGTCAGCTGGTCTGTCTCTGTAACGAGAACGACGAGTTTCAGATTCAGTGAACGGACTCTGTTGATCTGACTTTGTTCCATACTTAGCTCCTCGTTTCAGCAAATCGCCTCCGAGTCGGTCGTCCGGTCTTGTGTCGGCCTGGGAATCGCGACTGTGAACGTGGTCATCCCAATGGCTTCCCCGGGCCTCGGAAAGCGCGCTGGCTGATCCGAGTTTGCTCTCTGACTGTGGCGTCCCTGATCCCCCTCGGCAGCCACACCGTTCCCCTCCGAAAGCACGGCGCCGAGAGCCACCTCCCTCGCCTGCGTCTACACCTCCCGAGGGGTGGCGGTCGAGGGCACCGGAGCACCCAAGGGACTCGCTCTCGTTCTCGGAATGAAGAGCAGCGGCAGCCGAGGTACGCGTCTCGACGGACCGCCTTGCGCGAGAAGCGGCTAGGGCGGGTGCTTTCTCCTCCTCGTTCTCTGCTTTTCCTTCTCTCTCCCCATCTTCCTTTTCCTCTTTCTCTTCTATATCCTCCTTCCCTTCTCTCTCTTCTTCCTCCCCTTCCTCTTCTCTCTCTCCTGTCTCTTCTTCCTCCTCCACTTTCTTTTTTCTCTCTTCTTCCTCCTCTCTCTCTTCTTCTTCCTCTTCAAGCTGGCGGTACGTTTCCCTTGTGCAACACACCCACCAACAGGACTGCGTGTCGTCCTCCCCGCGCGAGCAACACAGCCATCTCAACATTGCAAAGCAAGCGCTATTCTGCCACTCTGCCCTCGCGATTTTCTGCTCTCTTGACGCTATATAATCTTCCTCGCCTGTTATGGAAAGGACAAACGTACTAGCTCAATTATAATCAAAGTTTCAGAACAGAAAATATTTACATATATTTCTTAAAAATTATGGTCAACGATTCTTTTTCATATTATATATATATATATATATATATATATATATATATATGCATGTATCTCATATATAACATGCATTAGATAAGATATAATGAAATTCGAGTTCCTTCAAACCAGGTATGGACTTGGAAATCGTACATTCATACCAAATTCTTTAAACTATAACAGGGTATTGTCACGTTTCTGTTAGATGATTCGAACAGAACAAAACACGAAACTCAATTTAAAGAGGAGACAATTATTCTCCTGAATTTTATCCAGTGGATCAGTGATTTATTTACTTATTGAAAAAATTCTGCCGTGTCAACATTTAAGATCATTGGCAGCGTATACAAAATATATCAATAGGGCGAAACGGGAACAAAGCCTTAGGCAAAAAAAGGCCATACGGCATTGTGACAAAGTATTGTGTCTGAGGAGTAATTAATGAATTGACAATTATGTTAGATAGCAAAGGATATAGAGCGCAATACGTTAGCGTGGTAGTGAAAAGAGTACGGACGGAAGGGCAAACGGAGTACGAACGACGTGCAAGACTGACACAAACCCAGCCTTTCATCCTTTCAGCACGGCGCTCACGCTTCAGGATGGGAACAGGCGAAGAAGAGAAGGAAAAAGAAACGTTGAAGAAAAGTAAGTAATAATGACAATAAAATGTGCTAGGCATCAAAGTGAAGAAAAGACCATGTAAAGTTAGTTAAGGCGAGGTCCAAGGCAGAGGTGATCCCGAAGTTGAGCCTCAGCCCTCGCCTCGTAAGACCTCCACGACAACGGGCAAGAGAATGGAGGGAGTGGATGAATGAGCTGCCTCATTTATCCGCTGATAAATGAGGCAGCCGAGTGCGCGAGAAATCCACTTATTTGTGTATTCATGCTGCCTCATTTATCCACTAATAAATGAGGCAGCCGAGTGCGCGAGAAATCCACTTATTTGTGTATTCATGCTGCCTCATTTATCCAGATACATGAGGCAGCCGAGTGCGCGAGAAATCCACTTATTTGTGTATTCATGCTGACTCATTTATCCACTGATACATGAGGCAGCCGAGTGCGCGAGAAATCCACTTATTTGTGTATTCATGCTGCCTCATTTATCCACTAATAAATGAGGCAGCCGAGTGCGCGAGAAATCCACTTATTTGTGTATTCATGCTGCCTCATTTATCCAGATACATGAGGCAGCCGAGTGCGCGAGAAATCCACTTATTTGTGTATTTGTTTATCCAGATACATGAGGCAGCCGAGTGCGCGAGAAATCCACTTATTTGTTTAGTCTTGGCTCATACTATACTGCCAACTTTATTCCACATGCATCTATTAACGCATATAATGCAGTTAATCTTATCTTTTGAGGGCTACACAATGTCTGTGATAAATAGACTCGGGGATAAAAGCCTTGTGTCATTGTTATACTAGAGATTAGAATTATCAGATGGAAAAATGTGAATTATATTCTCTAATACAATAATGATAATGGTCATCACATTGCTGATACTAATAATAACGGTAATAACAACAGGTGTTGTAAGACTATTGAAGCATAATCATATTAATCAAATTTGTGATAACAATAATGAAATTATGATGACAACTATTGTACCTGTAGCAATAACGGCTGCAGTGATAATTGCTATGGTGATGGTGATGATGCAGGAAGTAATAATAATTATAAATGATAATGGTAATTAATTCATTCATTTTCACCAATCTTTACTTTGGCCTCTGCTAATGTTATAATATATAGACATGGCTTCGGTTAATATGACATTCGAGTAAACTGGAGCTTAATTAAAATTTACTTAATTAAAAAACAATTCATAATAATGATAATGAATGTTAATGTTGGAATAATAATAATAATAATAATAATAATAATAATAATAATTACAAAATGAAGAATAATTATGAAAATGATAATAGTTGATAACATATGTATATACTGAAATTATGATAATAACCATCATCCTCATCATTATCATTATTGTTGACATTATCATTATCAATATCATTACCATTTTCACTTTATTAATGTTGTTCTTTTCCCATCATTAGTCAGTATCGCAATCATTATTATCATTATCATTATATACTACTACTACTACAAGTATCGTTCCTTATTATATTAAAATTAATAATACTCATAATCATCAGTATCTTAACCATTAATTTCATTATCATAACTACTGAAACGTTGAGTGGAGAATGTGGATAGAAAACACTGGCCTTTTCCTAAACTTTAATTATAAGAACGATTTTGAAATTAATACTGGCACTTTCATGCAGGTACTGTACGCATATATGCACAAAATATCATGGTTCTTTCTGTTCATAAACAAGGCATTCTATATGAATTCCTACTTATGCCGTAAAACAACCGTCTGGCACTGATCACTAACACTTTATCTTAATGTGGCCACACTAACACACGTGTAAACACCTGCGTGCGAGTTACAACACTCAGTTCACAGGCTCTTCGTCAGTTCCAGTCCTCTTGGTCTGCTCACTCTTGTCCCTGGAACGTCTGCTGGGTCCTCTGCTCTGCTCATGCCAGGTCACCACTATGTCGGGAGAGTCAGCAGGGCTTTAGTGCTTCTCAAACAGGCATATCGGCAGAGACTTTCCTTGGTGCCCACGTGCTCCGCTTCTCTCTCTTTCCTCTTTCTCCGATTCTGTCCAGGTTGCACTCATTCTTTCTTTAGCATGGCTGGGTCCTCCCACTCGGCCCTTCCGCCAGTGCTGCCAAAAAATGCGCTAAAATGCGAGTGTAAAAGCTCCGGTCGTAACGTGCTTAACCGTTCTCTCCTTCCCGCTTCTCCCTCCGTTTTTTTCCCTTTGTTTCCTCTAGCGTTCTGGTCTAATCCGGATCATGCTATGCGAACGGCTATTGCGTGAAGCAATATTATTATTTATCATCATTATATTCATAACATCTTCATAATTATCACATCACTCTCATTCACATTATTATTATTATTACCATCATTATCATCATAATTATTCTCATCATCATTATTTCATAACCATATTTATCACACCAGTATCAGAAGAAGAATGATAATTACAACGGTGAGTAATATAATGATGATAACAGCTATTAATATAATAATGATAACAGCTATAAAAATAATAATGATAACAGCTATTAATATAATAATGATAAATGGTACATCTGCAAGTGGCCCGATTTAGGAGGATTCTACCCAGGCAAGGCAAATGGTCCTCCATCGGTGCCGAAGCCATGCGCGAACCAGCGTTTGTCAACCTTGCCATATATCCTACCTTAATGATTCTCGACAAGGAGGGCAAGAGGGCGAGCGAGTCCAGGGAGTAGTTTCTGGCCGCCTTTCCCTCCGCGCCGCTGCCGTCTGACACTACTGCTTCACAGGGCCGACTAGCGCGAGGATATATGATCATTATGGGGGCGTGATTGCTATCTCCCAGATCCAACGCTGATTGTAGTATCTGCTGAGCTTTAGATAACAGGTGCTACACGTTGATGCCCTGTGTAAATGGGTTTGATTGCGGAGACGAGTGTATGAACAGTTGCCCGCATTTATAGCCTGCACACCACGTTTTCGGACAGAAGTGGCTTGCGTTTGTTTACATTCTCGTACTACAGGTTATATGGACAGGAGTTTGATATATATATATATAATATATATATATATATATATATATATATATATATATAATATATATATATATAGATAGATAGATAGATAGATAGATATACAATATATATATATATATATATATATATATATATATATATATATATATATATATATATATATATATATATATATGTACTTATATGTACACACACACACACAAATCTTGGATTCCATCTTTAGATTTGAAAAATGAACCTATGAAGATTTTATAGCCATTATCTCTCAACTCCATTGAATCTAGTTTACGCATTTTTGATACCATTGTATCAACATGTAGTTGTTTTCATTCAATATATATGTGATATAGTTGGGCGTATGGTGGTGGAGAATGAAGAGGTCTTGGGTTGGGTTTTCGGTATAAAGGCGTGACCCCCGAGAGTGACCCTATGCCCTGAGTGCCATGGGCTGAGGGTGACCTCCTGTCCTGTGACTGCTTCTTCTTTCTGCTAGGTCTGGTCTGCTTCTTCTGCTTCTGAAGACGATATTTCTGCGACTGCTGTCCTGCTGCTGGGTGCCTGCTTCTGATTTGTTGGGTGCTGGACTTCCGACCGTGACAAGGGGGTGTGTTCGCCAGACTTGCTCGAGGCAGAGGAAGTGCTTGGGCAAAGGAAGCAAGGAAGGAAAGCAGCTGCAAGGTGAGAAGCCCAACCCATCTGGTTTGAGCATATTGTTGATAATATATATATGTATATATGTGATTTATCTGCAGCGCCAAAGACTAGCAATTAATTTCAAGTCAGTGGGTGGAGCGTCCGCGTTGTCGGGCGTACGAAAATCCATCATGGCAAAGTATCGTACTGCTTGAACAAAAGCAGTTCTCTCACACAGAGCGTCCCGTGGCACGACGGTTTCTTTACATAAAAAATAATATATTGTAACTATTTGAATGGCTTACACCTGATGCCACACCACAGGCTAGAATTATGGGTTAATTGTCCTAAAAACAACTATTTGATGCATTTCATGTTATTTGATTCACTTCCACATTCCTACATTCCTATAGCAGTTATTGTGAAGGTTATTATTCATATAGTCATGATATTTAATATTACATGGGAAAATTATGTTAATGTTAATGACAATAATAATGTACAACAATACTAAGAATGACAGTGATGGCCATAATAAAAATGGTAGATGTATGTTTATTCTTTATTTACGTTGACTATTCTTGCTCTATTTCGTTTGTAGATATATATAGGAATCTCTTGATACCTGATGGGTCAGAATATGCAAACTGGAAAAAATCCATATACTTATAAATCTGCATACTATACGTATGATAACAAAGATGATAACAATAGTAATAGCAGTAATGATAATAGTAATAACAATAGTAAGATATAAATAGTAAAGAGTAATGAACAATTGATAAAATGTTATGATAATGATGGTAATTATGATAATATAAGCCTTTTTTCCACTGACGATATTAGAAAACTGTCGCAAAATTCATTCGCGACACTTTCCTGTGCCAGTCGTGACAGCAACTCTGCCAGGTGTCAAAGGTGAGCTCCACCACCATTCCTAGTGATCCAGTTGACGAATCTGATTTTGATTTGAAATGTTTTAACAAATCACTGTTTTACTGATGTGACATTAGGAAATAACAATAAACAAAAGTTGTTAGTTATCAGTATCTTAAAATTACAAATGAAACGACGGAAAACTATCGAAATAACCTGCAAATGCGCCGGCTGTAAGTGTCTCCCATCATATTTTTTTCTTTGTCTATCGACACCAGTCTCGAAGGTCACACTTCTTTCAATATTTTGAAAATGGCACTATTTATTAATCGATATTGACTACATTTAAAAGGACATATAAATTCACGTCTTCTTATTCAGTTATT